TAAATGTGCAGTTTCTAATTTATGGTTCTCTCTCCTATGTTCACTTCTCGGGATGAACACATCTGAGAAAATGCAGCGTTGTAAGGTCCATTTAAGAGAGGTTTCAGTGCTTGCAAACCTCAAGCAGACCCCAATATGATTTATCCAGCTTTGTTGTATGTAAATGTGTATCTGTAATTCTGTATATGAACTCACTAGCAGCGATGACAAGAAAGTTGTTATTTTAGTTTGATGATTAGTAATTGATAGGAACAGCTTATCATAAAGCATGTCACAGTAACATATGTAATTTTTTTTTTTTTTTTGGAGGCTAACCCTTTCACAGGATTGATCTTTCTCTAACTGTAACTTCTGCATTCTTGAGGCACCTTTGGATATCGCTTTCTGTCAGAGCAATAGTCATAATCCAGGTACACCTTCCTTGCATTTGTATACAGTTTCCTCTCTCTAGAGCTTAGCTGCCAATTCTCTTTGCGATTCCACCAGAATGTAGGACCAGTGCATTTCTCTATGCCGAAAAATGTAGTTACACACCCTTCAAGCTTTGATGCCTGGAACTTAGCAGTATAAGGCGTCTGCTTGGGATCGATTATCGATCTGTTTTGCACACTTCCCATTATGAACATCGTCTGCACCGATGGATAGTAAATATCTGGATTCTTCCTGTACACCCGGATCGGTGTATCGTCTACATAAAACCTGAAATTTGTAGAAATACTTTTTCTGTGTTACTGATGTTAATCAATGGATTAGGGCATGATCTGATAAAAGGTTTATATGGTACGCACACAATTTGATGTGGGTTCCAAAGAAGCCTATAGGAATGGTACTCCTTGGTTGGATCAAACCAGAGACGAAACCTCTGATCTTTGTCTCCTTCACCGTACAGAAACATATTTGTATTCAGCAAATACGGTGGACCAATGCTTCCCAAAATCTGGAAACAGAGCTCGTCATGGCGGCTTGATCTGGACTGTATCTGCCATATAGCAGACGAGATCAAAACATATTTCAAGAACCTCTTCAGGTACGTAATATGATCAATCTTTATTTCAGGTAAACATAAGTTTAGTGTCAATTCATACATACGTAGAAGGAAGTAACGAGTCCCGTAGACTTGGTTTGTGGTGCCTTGATTTTCATGTTGAAAGATCCTGATCCGTATATCGAGTAGGATTCAAACCCGGACCCTGGTAAGGAACATGAGACCAATCATAAGCGATTCTAGACACAAACACAGGTTCATAACACATGTAGAGACAAAACACACACACACATATAGACAGAAAGAGAGAGGAACCAGAGGTATGATCCAGGGTTAGTTGGAGCTCAGAGGTTTCATTAAGAACCAAAGGTTGATGTCCCCATGTCACGTAGTAGTTATTGGCCCATGTCACGAACCCACCACCCTCTTCACCGCGAACCGCGGCTACAACTACTATAACCATCAGTAGAATCTTCTGATGTAATCCTCTCATATTCATCTCTCTTTGCTTCTCCCTCACTTCACTTAACCACACTAGTACACGACTCTCTTTGGCTGTGTTATATATATGTATAGAGCAGCCACCACGTACGTTACGTTGTTGCTTTTTCACCAAATGGTCTATATCCATTGCATCATCATCGTAATTCATAATCCCCATCAGTAAATTAAAACGTTTTTTGTTTGTTTTTCTGAGTTTGATCCCTCTATGTTTTGAGCTGTTTGCGATTAGGTTTGGTTTTTAGTGTTGTGAAAGCTGTTTCCAACTCGTTTTAACACGCCATCAAGCATTTGCATCTCAAAAGCTACAATTTCCCTATTCAACATTTTTGGTTTTGTTAGCTTACTATATAAAGTAACCCTATTTTTTTCCTTATAATCAAATAAATTTTCAGTTTTCCATTTCAATCAAATTACATTTTTGTTACAGAAAAACCAATATCGTTGTTTAAGACCACTTGTTTTTTCCTTGGTTCTGATCCTTTTATAACGTGAATTCCGTGTTTGTTTCCTGCACTAGTCTCAGAGAAAGAAAAAACGAATTGTAGTTGGAAATGCCGTAATGTTGACAATTGTTATGGCGATCAAATAATAAATATTTTTATTTAGATTGGTAAATAATTTGAGATTTGTAGAATAGGATGGTGACTATCTGGGTTGTTTAAATAAAGAATTAGCATTAAGCTAATCGTGCCGCCAACTACCTAAGTTTCTTTTGTTTGCTAAGTTGTGAATAAATGAGGAGAGAAAATGCCAAAAAGTTGCCACCAAAGCGACAGCTCATTTCACAACATGTCAATACGACAATATACCCACGCGCCTACTTGTCCAAAATATATGCATGTAATTTCGATTTCATTAACAACTAGGCAGATATCCGCGTTTTGCACAGCACAATAATTTTTAAAATTTTTATATTATTTTTATTTAAAAACGA